TCAAGGTACATCAGCCTTTGTGACATGAGTCAGAAATATTTTTCCCACTTTGGCTTTTGACTTTGCTTATGGTGCTTTCTGCTTTGTAGGCATTTTTGGTTTTATACGGTTGAATCAGACTTTCATTTTATGGCTTCTGGATTAGGGACTGTAGTTGGAAAAGCCTTTCCCTCTCCACGGTCAGAAAGGAATTTTCCTCTAGGATTTTTTTTTTTTTAACTGAAGTATAGCTGCCACTCCGTGTTACATTAGTTTCAGGTGTACAACATAGTGATTCAACTTCTCTATAGGTTGTGTGTGCTCATTACATGTGTAGCTACCATCTGTCACCATACAACATTATTACAGTATCATTGACTATATTCCCTATGCTGTACCTTTCATCCCCGTGACTTGTTCATTCCGTAACTGGAAGCCTGCATCCCCCACCCGCCTTCACCCGTCTTGCCCATCCCCCTCTTCTTCTGGCCACCACCAGTTTGTTCTCCGTATTTATGGGTCTGTTTCCCTCTAAGATTTTTAAGAATTTTTTTTAACCTGTAAGCCTTTTGATCCTTCTGGAATTTATCATGGCTCATGCTGAGGCACAGATCCAGCTTCACTTTGTCCTGATAACCACCAGTCTGCCCAGCACCCCTTAGTAACACCGCCCCTCTTCCCACGGGTTCAAGGGGCTCAGGTGGAGAGTCAGGGACAGATCGCAGCATGTGATGTAGGATTGGGGCCTTTGTCCCTAAGAACAATGGGAAAATGAGGACTGGGGGGAGAAGGGGTGCCATGCTCAGATCTGCATCTTGAAAACAGCACCCTGGCCCCAGAGTGGAGATTGGAGTAGCGATATGTCAGCCCTGACCCCGGCACATCCCCCTCATTGCTTGTGGGTTTGACCTCCTGGGTCTGCAGCCCTCCCACCAACACTCCTTCTGGGTCAGTTCCTGGGGATCTTGATATGCACACAGAAGCCCCTCCAGTGACCCAGGAGACCCAGGCCTCCTTCAGTGAGCTGGACCTCCAGCCGCCCTCCCTCCCATGGTATTGACCAATGCCTCATCATCACCAGCAAATATAGCGTCACTGTACCCCAATTCACACAATTCACCCAAGCCCACTGCCTCGTTCCCTGACCCCCACATTCCTTCCATCTCCTGCATCTTCCAACCCATGGATCCCACCGTGTTGCCCAGTCTGGCTCAAATCCCACACACGCACTCCAGCACGTGTGTGGCTGGTGACACTTTGAATGCCAGACCCACATGCGGATGTCCAGCCCCTGCCTCCAGCAGGGCCACCTCTATGTGCCATCCTCATGGTCGTCCCTCCAGGAATCCCCCATTCTCCAACATGTTGGATCCTCCCCTCCCTGCAGATGACTCCCATTATACACACATACAGTTGTGTCTCTCGTCTTGAAGAAGTAGCCCTCTCTGGACCCCTTGTCCCCAAAGCACCTGCTGTGTCTTTGCTTCCCTTTGCAGTGAAACTGCTTGAAAGTGCTCGCTGCCCATATTCCTCCTTGTCCTTCTCCTGGAAACCATCTCCAGCCAGATTTGCACACCCATCACTCCCCCTGCCCTCACCCCTGTGTGGCTAGAGCCAGTGGGCTGGTCTTTTTTTTTTTTTTTTAAGATTTTATTTATTTATTTGAAAGAAAGAGAGAGAGAGCACGCACGAGCAGAGTGAAGGGCAGAGGGAGAAGCAGGCTCCCCGCTGAGCGGGGAGCCCAACATGGGACTCAATCCCAGGACCCTAAGATTATGACCCGAGCTGAAGACAGATGCTGAACTGACTGAGCCACCAAGGCGCCCCCAGTGGGCTGGTCTTGGTCTTCATCTTACTCAGCTGTCTGCAGTGAGGGGCACAGGCAACAGCCTCCTCCTCCTCAATGCACTTTCTCCATTCCGCTTCTAGGAATTCCTTTTCTTCCCAACCTTGAACTGTTGGGACACCCCCGAGCGCCACGTGTATATAAGGCTGAGCTCCTTCCAGCCAAACCCAACCGACCCCCAGTCTCCACACCTCTGCTGATGGCAACTCCATCCCTGCAGTTGTTCCAGCTAGAATCGTGGCATCTTTCTTGACTCCTCTCTCTCTCACTCCGGAGAAAAATCCGCTTGGCTCTACCTTCAGAATCCATCCAGAGTCCATCCCCTTGCACCCCTACCCCTGCCCCGCTGCCTCTCTCTCCATTGTACATGTCATCTCGTAGGTGATGTACTTGTTCGTTATGCTTATGGTATCTTGGCCACCTCCCTCGCTAGAAGGTGAGCTCCTTAGGATGGGGATCTTTGTCATCATCACTGCCGTATCCCACGTGCCCAGAACAGCATCCAGAACAGCAGGCCCTCCGTGAATGTCTGTGGATTGGATGTGCCAATAGATTGGGGAGGGAGAGCGTGTCGAGGGGGACTCGTCATTATCCGGGTCACCAACTGGGCGGGAGGGAATCTCCCCACAGAGACTAGGAACCAGGAGAGGAGCATATTTGTGGGCAGAAGACCATGAGCGTGTCTGTGCACCTTGGCTTGAGGAGTCTTGGGGACTGTTAAAGGGAAGATGGCAAGCAGACAGCTGGAGGGAGGGAGTCTGGGCTTCTGAGGCACAGTTGAGGCAGGAGGCACCCACTTGGGACACTTCTGCCTAGGGTAGTCAAGAGCGTGATGAGATCCCTGGGGAAGACAGGAGAGAGCGGGGACAGATGAGCCCAGCGGAAAACTGAAGAGAAGAAAGCCTTTGCCATGAGCTCTGAGGAGCCTCTGCGTGAGGCTGGGAGAAATGGAGCCAGCTGAACAGCCAGCGAAGTGGGAGGAACATGACCTTTTGGAAGCCGAAGGGAGAGAGTGCTTCCAGAAGGCGGGTGTGCTCAGCAGCGTGGGATGAGGAGGAGAAATCCTTGGCGGGCTGACTGATGTGGAGGCAGGTGGTTGGGGACTGGGTGAGAGCCGTTCTGGTGGTGATAGGGATGGAACCCATATCAGAGGGTCACGAGGTGCATGGAAGGTGTGAAATTTAGAGACAGTGACAGGAAACCCCTCTCCCCAGTGGTGAGGGAGAGGAGAGCCAGGGCCGGAGCGGAGGAGGGCGTGTGAGCAAAGGATGGGCTTTCAGCAGAGAAACTGGAGCTGTTCCAGAGCTGCTGGGAAGCATCTGCTGGAGAAAGTGGGTTCGATGCAACAGGCAGGGAGGCAGCGGTGGGTGCAGGGCCCCTGGAAGGTGGGGCGGGTTGCCCGGAGGGACACAGACAGGAGGCTGGGCAGAGACGCAGGTGCAGGCTGGTGTGTGTGTGTGGCATCGGTCCAGTGGCTTTTCTTTTCCTGGGAAAACAAGGCACGAGGTCCCTAGCTGAAGGTGAAAAAGTCTGTCCACGTGGCCAACGCCTTGCCCCACCCTAGTCTAGACTCAGGGGACCCACAGCCCCCCATGTTACCATTCTCGGGTATTAGCACCGCTGTACATCAGTTTTTCAGGCCAAAGATCTTTGTCTTGTCTCTCCTTTCTCTATGCCCCATGCACAACCCCCCCACACACACCATTAATTGGATGAACAAGTCCTGTGGGTCCTCACTGACAAGTGTCTTCTGACTCACTTCTCTCCACTATGAGCATGAGGAGTCCTGGCCACCATCACCTACATGGAGACAGCTGCCCTGCACCCACTCTCAGCCCCTCCCACCCCTCCTCCGAGCAGGACCCTTCTGTGCTCCCTGCCTCCCCCTGCCTTTCAAATCCCGGGCCATGGCATGGACACCCCCTGCCCCATCTCTGTGGATCCCAGCCCCTCAGAAGCCCAGTGGTCCTGGCGCATTGGGAGCTTTGCCATCCCTGCCCCACGGCTCCCTCCCCTCTCCTCCCTGAGATAACCATGTCTCACCTTCAGGACCCCGCCTGCCTAGGAGCTTGCTGCGCTTCTCCCTGAGTCACTGTTTTCCTAAGCATCTATCCTTCCCAGAAAAAATTCTGTGAGTCAGAGATCCTGCCTCTTGTACTCACCAGTGGGTCCCCTTACTTGCCCCCCCGGGGGGGCGGCAGCTCATAGGTGGCGATCCATAAATATGTGTGGGCCTACTGCCAGCCGAGTGTCCCCTCCTCCCTGTGCCAGCCCCGCTACCCAGACTGAGGCCCAGGGTCTGCGGGGGAGCAGAGAGTTTACTGGATTGGCAGCGGCATGCCTTTAGCGGAAAGTGTATGGGGTTCAAGAGTTGGGAGAGCTCTTTCCAGGATGAATTCCAACCCTTAACCAACCATGTGGCCTTGGACAAGTCCCTGCTTTCTCCCTGAGCATCTGTGTTGTTATCACACCTCCCGCAAAGATGGCTGAGAAGGTCAAATGCAGTGTGGTTTGCACCCCAGAAGGTGAAGAAGACACCTGCGGGTTTTGCAAATGTTCTCGGCGAGCCCTCATCTGCCGGGGGGGGGACAAGTGTCAGCGTGCTGCACGAGCCTTTCCCAGAGCAGCCCCCTGTGCTTCTGGACTCAGCCCCTTCAGCTTCCCCACGCACACCCAGACTCGGTGCCCCTAACCCCAGGCTGAGCCACAGGCACCCCCTGCCTGTCTGTTCAGCCCCACCCAGACCTGCACCCTTAGGAGTGCTCTGCCCTCTGCCCCAAATGTTTTCTCCCCCAAGTCTTTCCCCTTCAGTAGAAATGAACTGACCCCAGGTGAGCACCAAAATTTGTTCTTCAAGCAGGAACAAGTCTGATTCCTACCTGGCTTGCCAAAACCGGACCCGGATGGGCCCCAGGCAGGGATCAACCATAGCCCCGGGAAACGAACACCAGAACCAATACACACAGGATTGTCATTACCACCCATACACCTGCCCCTGCCTCTGCAAGGGCAAAAGCACCCCCTCTGCCCTGCCACTTGGCTTTGGGGCCCGTGAGAGCATCAAAGGCTTGCAAGGAGGGGTGGCCTGTAGCTGTGCAAGAGAGAGGCTGGCCTGGGCAAAGGGACCCTCTCTCCCTGTAATGCTGACTGTAGGTTCTCTGCTTGTGTTTTGCAGGTCCTCCCGTAAGTGTCCTGGATGATGCTTTCTGCTCCTGAAAGATAAGACATTTTGTCCTCTTCCGTAACTATTCCATGAAAATAATTTTTAGTTAGAGAGGTGTGTTGTGTCCTTTAAAAAAAAAAAAAATCAGTCCTGGACAGGGGCCATATATTATTTTTTTAATTCGTAGATGAATGCCGGCACAGAATTCTATGGGCTTGACTTGCCCCGTGAAGCACTCTGTGACCCTTTTCCTTCCAAGAGAGCTGGCGCTCTTGGGCCTGGCTGCTCCTCGCCGGGTCTCGGCTCAACTTGGTGCACAGAGATGCAAGCACCGTGTCCTCGTTTTCTAAATTCTCTGCGGCAGTTAATCTGTTTAAATGTTTCTGTCTCGCGTGCTTAGGCACAAAGGGCCCCGGAGTCAGGCAGCGGTGCCGGGACTCATGGGGTCCCTTTCCCCGATTTGCCAAAATGTGTTTGCCTCCTTGGCTCACGCAGCTGAGCCCTCGCGGGAGCACGGGGAACACCACTCACTGGCCAGTGGGATGAGGGTGCATGGGAGGGACTGGTCGCCAGGGGACAGCATAGAACGCAGGGGATGGTCAGCGCCCCGGAACTCCCAGATCCTTCTCCAAAGACATGGGACGAGTTGGTCTTTGATTCATCCTGGCAGTTTTTCAGAGCCCGATGAATCCTGACGAATCAATTCAGGGAGCACACTGACAGTCCGCTTGGGCCAAAGTGAACCTTCTAAAGGAATTCCTTTCGGGGGAACAGTTTTATTTTTGACTTCCCCTTACTGTGATTCACTTCCCAATCGGCACCCTTCGGAAGCCGGGCTCCTCCGTGCATGAGGCAGCACCGCACTGAGCCAGGGAGTGAGCCTGCGAGAATGTGTAGATTTATTGGCCACAAGCAGTTTCTGGCTGTTGAGTCATTCCTGGCTGTCACGCGGAGGCTAGCCTATGTGAACTTGCTTGAAGTGCGTAACGCGGAGGGCAGTGGAGTGATTCTCTCTCTCTTTTTTTTTTTTTTTTTTTTTTGACTTGGCTGTTAAACTCTGCAGAATTCTCAAGCTGCAGCCTGAGATGGATGCCAATGTGTGGGACACTGGCCCTGGCAGTCAGTGCTCTGAGCTGGTGGGGAGCAGAGAAGCATCCAGTAGCGAGAAATGCTACCCCCCCACCCCCATATCTCTGGCTTCCAAGGCTGTCTTCCTCCATCTACCTTCTCCCAGTGGCAACAGGCAGGAAGAGCCATTTCTGCTCTCTAGACCCGACTCGGGGAGCCTTTTCCATGGTGGCGGTGACACCACCCTTCAGAATCACCCACCCCCCTGTGGTCCTCGCCATGCCCCCCCCCCCCTGAACCGCATGGGTGTGCTCCCTGGTGGCCCCTCCAGCTTGGCTCCAAGAGGCAGGAAATGGGTGCTCTGTCTCCCAGACCCAGCGGAGCCCTGAGTGTCCTCCTCCCACACCACCACCACCAGGAGTCATTACCAAACCATCAGCCTTTGCTGCAAACCCCGCAGAACATGGGGGGACCGGGGGGCCCTGTTTGAGTTGTAAGTGTTGCCATATGGTTTTCTGCTCAAAGTCTGATTATTAATGACGTATTAATTACCACAGGGGCAATCAGGACGAGATGGCTACCCGGTAATTTGCCATTTATTTTTTGCTCTTTGTGCCCTTTTCTCTCGAGCTGATCTTCTTCCTCTGAGCCTTTATTTAACTCTGTCTACACTCCTGCCCACCCCCCTTCTCTCAGTGGCTGAGGTCTGTCTGTAGAGGGGGGTTAGCAGTAGCTCTGCGAATCCGTCTGCCGCTCCAGCTATCCTGCAGGCAAAGCAAAGAGGCTCAAGGAGGAGGCTCCTTGGCGTCTCGAATCCTCCGGACACTCTTGCTGCCCAGCCTGTCCACCCTGAGCCAACGGTCTGGCCCTTGGCTGTGGAGCGCCCCCCGGGGCTGGCTCGGCTGTCAGCCTCTCCCCAGTGGGAAGGGGGCTGCCTGTCCCAGCCCACCGCGATCTGTCAGCACTCGGGATCCGGAGACTGGTTGGTTCCAGTGTGGTCTCTGTGGTGTCATCACTTCTCAGATCTTTTGAATTAAACCTCAAAGTTGGCTTATATTTGGAATCGACGTCCCCCTCCCAGGCTGGGTGAGCACTACATGAAAAGCAAAATTACATGGAGCTGTGCTGATGTCCAGTCCTGCTCAGAGAGGTTAAAGACCGCGACCCCAGCGTCCAGAAATCCTGAGGTGTCAGAGCAGGGGGGTGACCTCGTGGAAGGAGAGCATGGCGGGACCTGGGGTGTGGTTGGGGGACAGAAGTTGTTCTGTGCTCTCAGGCCAAGAAGATGCAGGGAGGAAAATGTTGGTTGATTCAGAGCCCTTGCTAATGACCAGCTCTGTCCAGAGTCAGGACAGGCTGGTGATGGAGGGCGAAGGGGGGTGTCCCCCAGTCCTGCTAGACCTGCCTTGCCAGGAGGCTGTGGATGGCAATCCAGCACCTAGCACCAGAAAGATCTGAGCTTACAGGTCAGCGCTGTGCCTCCCAGCTGGGTGCCCCAGGGAGAGTGGGTGGTGGCTGGGGTGAATGGGTTTCTTCCCGCGTCCCCCATATTGGCTTTTCTGAGCACAGAGTGACATTGACTCCTTTCTCCGGGGCTGTGAGCATGAGAGAGGATGTTGGCTGATGGTGGGAGTAATTTTTCCTGGGTAAAGGACGGGAGTTCCAGACCAGCCCCCAGGTCCAGGTGCGGAGTTAGGAAGTCAGGGCTCGAGTCCCTGCTCACTGGCTGTGAGCTCCCTCCCTGTGAAGACAGCAGTGGGGTTCAGGAGAAGTGAGCATCCCAACACCAAAGGTCACCGCGGACACGTGACTGGGGCTGCTCCAGGACTGTCGGGGAATGAAGCCTGGGGTTTAGCATGTGGGGGGCTTGGTGCCCAGCCTGGGCCAGAGATGGGGCTCCGTGAGTTGGGGGAGGGGAGGCAAGGGGATGGATGCAAGGGCAGTGTGTCCCTCTGGTGTGAAGTTGGGAGCTTTCTGGGAAGGGAGTGGCTGGGCCCGGTGAGGGGTGAGGGGACCTTGTCAGAATCTCGGGTCACACACCCGTGAGCGCACAGGGCCGGGGCACCCCTCTTCCTGAGGTCACCTAGCCCCGGCTTGAACCTGTGCTGCCCCCTCAGATATGGGCACCCTCCGGTGCTGAGTCCCAGGTGTCCAAGCCTTGAGCACCAGGAGCCAGCCAGGCCCTGCCGTGTACCTCCCAGCACCCTTATTCCAGCAGTCCTACTGCTCACGCGGTCCCCTGCAGGGGGCCCACGGGCTGGGAGTGACACCCCGCCATGCTCCTGCAAGGGAGGAAAGCAGGCCCATGCGGGCAGGAGGCAGGTGGGACGATCTTCCGTGGGCTCACGGGGCCCATGTGTTTTGAGCTGAAATTCAGATCTCTTGGCCCGCGGAGGGCCTGGCTCCCAGCCTGGGGGGCGGGTACAGACGGCTCCACCGTGCTCATCCCAGAGGTTAGGGTGACTACCGCCACTGGAGAGGCCTGGGCCGCCTAAGAGACACCTCGTGTACTGAGTATCCATGGGCTTGGAGTCCTTCAGACCCAACTCAGGATCCTGGCTCCGCTCTGTGGCCTCGGGCAGGGTACGCGGGCTCTCGGAGCCTGGGGAGGTCACAGGCACAGAGTTGGAAGATTAAAATAGGGTAGTAACATATGCAAGGTCCAAACGCAGTGTAGATGCAGCAGACCCTTGATCATGCCACTGTCTTTCCTCACCAAGGAAAGCCGAAAGAGGAGGAAAGACAGGTTGAGGAAACGACTTTTTTTTTTATTTGAGAGAGAGAGAGAGCGCGGGGCGAGGGGCAGAGGGAGAGGGAGAAGCAGACTCCCCGCTGAGAAGGGAGCCCGATGCGGGGCTCGATCCCAGGACCCTGAGATCCTGCCCTGAGCTGAAGGCAGACACTTAACGACTGAGCCACCCAGGCGCCTGGGAAATCACTCTCACCCACCAGCATACACTGGCAGTGTTGGGAAAGGAAAATGGCTTTGAGAACGGTCAGTTTTAGGAAAAGGTGTTTTTCTGCAGCTTAGGAAACTTCAGGACCAGCCTCAGGGAGGATTTTTTTTGTGTGTTAGAAAAATGTCACTTCCTAAAAGGAAGTGAGGGCAAGAAAAATGTCAAACGGGAGGGTCGTGCAGGAGACCGTGCCGGCTGTGTGTTCTGGATTAATCCAGGCTGGCCCCTCCCCTGAGCGAGACCAGCTGAAACCAGGTCCATATGTGGACTGGGGCTCAGGAGCCAAGCACGATGGTGGGGCAGGTTGTGGACTGACAAGGGCACAGCCTCCTTGCAAAGAGGCCAGCCTGCCCTGTCCCTGCAAGAGTTCACGAATAGCTCCCTGCCAATGACAACAGAAGCATGTTTATTAGAAAACCATCCCTCTCCCTCTCCCCCTGCTTGTGTTCCCTCTCACTGTGTCTCTCTCTGTCAAATAAATAAATAAAATCTTTTAAAAAAGTGGGGGGAACTGTCCCAAAATAGAGAAAAGCACAAAAAAGGAAAAAGCGATCATCCATAATCCTACCACCCACAGATAAGTCTTCCCAATATCTCCGTGGTTGTTCTTTTCAGACTTCTTATGTGTGAGTTTGTTTTTATGTGTATCATTCTAAAAATGGGATTACTGGACATACTTTTTTGGAGCCTTTTTTTTCTTTTCATTTAACATAGCATGAGATGTTTCCACATCCTTCAGAATTCTTCTAGACGGTACTAGCTACATAGTATTTTATCATCTGTGTAATTCAACCCATGTCCAAGTTATGGTGTTTATATGGACAATTTCTTAACCCCTATGGTCAACATCTTGGGAATAAATGTAGGTGTATTTCCATGATTATCTCCTTAGAATCAATGTCTAGAAGTTGAATTGCTGGACCAAAGGGTTTGCACATGTTGAAGGCTTTTGATGTGTGGCAAATTGCCCTCCTGGAGGCTATTCTAATTTACATTCCCACCAACAGTGTAGGAATGTTGCATATTTCCCCAAACCCTGACCAACTGTGGGTATTATCATGCTTTTAAATCTGTGCCAATATGATAAGTTAAAAAAATGTGTGCATGTATGTATCTTGTTTTAATTTAAGGTATATTTTAATGAGAAGTACAGTCTTGGAGATTAAATTAGTTTTAATAAAGTTTGTGTAAACCTAACTGCCACCTGGTGGTAGAGCTTAGAATTGCAGGTATAGTTGAAATTGGAAATCAGCATTTTTTTTAAGAGCTTCCGGATCCCCTTTGGTCCCGGGACATCATGGAATCAGCAGCCTAGGGGGAATTCTGAGCTCCAAATATTGTGAGTCAGAGGTGGGACCCACAGAGGAGCCCTAGGCACTGTGCTCATCTTGCATTTGGGGGGCAGTAATCAACATTTATGTTGATAAAGGGATTTTTGCCATCTCATACATAGGAGGCTTGGACTGTTCAACAGATCTGGATGGTGTCATGCCCTGTGCTGGGTAGTGTGCTAGCACAAAGATGAATCACTCATAGTCTTTGGGGAGCTGTGAGGCAGTCGGACCAACACAACCAATTTGCCATGGGATAGAGAGGAAGGAAATGTTAGGGGTCACTGTGACTCCCTGGAGATTTCTTATACAGACCCTTTCTTTGCTCCAAACCGTGGCTTCTGTCTAAGACGAAAAGGTTCGATCTTGCCTACACCTTGACTTTTGCACAGAAAACATCAGACTCTCATCATCCGCTGATTACAACATCGAAACTCTTCCTCTTTGGTGTTTTGATTCTTTTGACTCTTAACATTGAGCTTGAATGACTTTCTGGTTTGTTTTATACCTTCAGAGAGCAATTTAAACATTTTTCCAAGAATGTGTTTGTGGCATATCTTACAGGACTTAAGGTTTCTGTGTACCTGAAGGTATGAGGAGAGCGTCAGGTTGTGAGGCTAGAGGTGCATAGAGATGATGAAATCCAGTGAAGCCTGGGTGGGGAACTGTGCTCACCGAGCCGTTGGTCAGTGACTCTATGCTAGATGCTTTCCTGGGTCTTTGGACCAGCACTGAACAAGACAGACAGGGGAGAGGTGCCTGGGTGGCTCAGTCGGTCAAGCATCTGCCTTCAGCTCAGGTCATGATCCCGGGGTCCTGAAATCGAGCCCCACATCGGGCTCCTTGCTCAGTGGGGAGTCTGCTTCTCCCTCTGTGCTCTCTCTCTCTCAGATAAATAGACAAATAAATAACCTTTAAAAAAGAGAGACAAGGGGAGAGAAACAATGAACAAGGAAACCAACAAACCAACAAACAGTGAAATGTGCTAGGAAGAGAATAAAGCAGAATAAAGAGTACCAGCTGGGTGCATGGGTGGGCATAATTGGGATTAAGTCATTGGAAGGCTCTTGGGGAGGATGACGTTTAAGCTGAGCTTTTAATGGTGAAAACGATGCAGAGATCTTGTGGAGAGAAAAAAGCAAGTGCATGAGGTCATGGGGTGGGGTCGACCTTCATGCATCCAGAGTACACGAGAGGGATAGGGACAGGGGGTGGTGGTGAAGCCAGAGAGATCTCCAGAGCTGCATGGTGCAGAAGCTTGTAGGCTGTAGGCTAACAGGCTGACCAAGGCTAGAG